AAAAAAAAAAAAAAAAAAAAAAAAAAAAAAAAAAAAAGAAACTGCCCCCTGTCACTATGGCCTGATGTTTTCCACAAGTAAAACATAGTTTCATAAAGATATATAAGCATTTGAGCAACCACGAATTGAATGTTACGATTACATGTTGAACAGCCTCTTATCAGGGTGTACAACTTTGAAACAGAAAATGGAAGTCTGATATACTACCCTCTTGCATGAATAAACCAAAGAGATCAAAAGACCATCAAATAAAATAAACTCAAATCATAAAACCAGTACCTGTGTCCATCCAAGCTGTAGATTAGTTTCCCGAGTTCCACATCCCATAGCTTTACAGTTGAATCAAATGAAGCACTGCACAAAAAGATGACAACTTTGTTTTAAAATGAAATCAAACTTTCAAATAATAGCCAACAAAAAAGAAAAAATAGCAAGCAGGTACCCATCATCATAATCTAACTGTCAAGATGGGAATATTTTAGTTTTAAATTAAAGAGTAACTTCACATCAACTCCAATGCAATGTAAACCTCGTTTAACTAAAAGAATTTTACATGATGGAGGGACAGTCAATCAGAGTCAAAAAGTATAGCACAACACATTGTACAGCCAATTATAATCAATTGGAATCAGCAACCAGCCAAAAGCAGCACCCATTCAATGTAGTTCAGTTAACACTGCAATGCGACACACAACATTACCAATTGCACTTGAAGAAATGCAGTCGCCACCCATCAACTAGGATTCAGTGGTCCGGAAATAGAGTCAGCAATAATTCTACGTTTGGAGAAATCATACATAAACGCATGGATGTAAATCGAGAATGGTAAACCTAATTTCAACATGAAACTAACTTACCTAGCCAACACCAGTTTCTGATTAGGGTTATTTGTACCAGGACCAGTGGGGCTCCATCTGATGGTATAAATCTCCTACAAACCAACAACATGCAGAGTGCATAAAGAATTAAAATTTCAAATGAAGACACAAATGGAAGAGCTCACAATGGAAAGCATTCAAAACTCAAGGTACCTTGGAATGCTCCCTTAAGTCGTGAAGATAAGTATCCTGCTTCATACTCCATATCTACAAAACAAGCACATTACCGATCCAAACAAGAAACATCAAACACACAGACAGTCATTTCACAAATGAGTATTACTGCATGTTTCTCAGGCAATAAATAATTGTATAAAAAAGTATGAAACGAAAAGCCTGTACCAGCCAAAAATAAAGTATGGAATTAAAACATAGATAAGATCATAAGGTTAGTTACTAGGTGGTCAACTTTTACCTTTGCTGTGATATCATCAGAACAGGAGGCCAGCAATGAACCTGTGGGATCCCATTTGACACAATTAACTTCACCCTGAAAATGCAGTAAGGTCATTAGCAGATGTAAATATTTATCCAATTGCTATATTGCATTCCAATGAAATATCTCAAACTAAAGCTTTGTGAACACTCAACAGACAAAAATTTCAGATCTTCAACCCTCTAACCTCAGTTAACTATGACATAAAATGCAAACACGTAGACGTAGACCCCATAATCTGCAAACCAAGTTAGAAACTGAATTTGCTACTCAGTTCACATAGTGTCGGTCATTTGAAATACACATAGAAGAGCAACTCAAGAAGTCAGGATTCATCTTGAAAATAGCAGCCCATATTTATCAACTAATCTATCTAGTAGACCTTGCCAGACATTATTAAGTATTAACTAGTGAAAAATGTAGGGGATGAACCCTTCCTCGCAATAGGGTGCAATTTCTAGCATTGAAAAATATCAGTTTATAGCATAGTTCCACACAATAAGGACTCATGTGCGAACCTGGTGCCCAGCAAAAGTTTTTATAGGGTGGCTTTCTCCAACTTTGCAAACATATATCATATTGTCTGTGGAACTTGTGGCAAAAGACACATTGTTGCGCCAATCAACATCAAGTGTTGGACCTAAACAACATATCAAGCCCAAATTAAACAATTGTTCATAAACATGGCTCAGAACATAGTCACATAATTTGCAATACTCTTCGGTACTTAGTACGGGTACCCAGTATGTAACCTTAAAAATATTGGTACATGGGGGTATATATAGGTAGTTCGTTTCAGTATGTTATTTAAATAAAATTACAATTTTATATAAAATATAATAATTATTTCATAAATTAATTTAATATAAAATGCAACATATTCATTTTTGTAACATGTTAATTTTAATATGAAATATTAACTTATAATCAACAATCAATATTATCAGTAAGTATGTACATAAACTGTTAAAAAAAATTAAGTTTTTTATATGATTAAAAATTTTGCAAACTTACATTCAACGGAAAAGATAAAAAAAAGTTACTTTGTATTTTGGTGTTTTGGAAAGAG